GTCGGGAAGGAGGGAGGGGAGGGGAGGGGGCCTCATCGGCAGAGCTGGAATCAGAAGCAGATTCAGACGCGGGCTGGGCCAGCGGGGAAGGGGGCTGGGAGGCCCGGGAGCCAGGGGAGGGGCCGGGGAGCCAGGAATGCGCTGGCGGGAGGGGTCTGGAGGGGGGCAGCTCAGCCTTCGCAGTCCGTGGAGGACCACCCAGCAGGGTCCTGGGCCCACAGCCAGGCCTTTACTGCTCCTGGGGCTGTGCCACGTGCTGGATGGGGGTCTGGGTCACCTCCTCCCTGAAGCCCATCAGGCAGGCAAGACCCGGGTCTGACAGCAGAAGGCCTGGATGCTCCCTGGGTAGGGAAGCCAAGTAACCACCAGTTGAAGGGTCATCCCCAAAGCAGCATCTACTGGAGTAGAAAGAACCCAGGATTGGGTCAGGTCTAATTTGGAATCCAAACTGCTCCATTTCTGGCTGCATAGCTTGGGGTCCTTTTTCCTCATCCGCCAGACGCCTGTTACTCACGAGGCTCTCTGAAGCTGTGGGATTTGATGAACCCGAAGTAGTATCAGGCCCAAGTCTGGAGCTGCACAGACTGGAGTGTCTCCTGTCTGTGTTGAGGAAGGGGGGCACCCCCGTGGGCCTGAGCTGGGCTAAGACATGAGGCCACCCTCTCTTTTCTTTTCTCCACCATCGTGGTGTGTTCTTGCCTCTGCTTCTCGCCTTGTCTTCTCACAAGACTTTCAGGATTAAGCGATTCCTGGCCAGGAAACAAAAGCAAAATCGTCCCATTCCCCAGTGGATTCAGATGAAAACTGGAAATAAAATCAGGTACAACTCCAAAAGGAGACATTGGAGAAGAACCAAGCTGGGTCTGTAAGGAATTGCACATGAGATGGCACACATATTTGTGCTGTCTGAAGGTCACGATCACATTACCATATCAAACTGAAAATGTCACCACTATCTGGAGAGTTCGACGTGTTTTCCTCTCTGAATCTATTATGAATGCGTTGGTTGGCTGAGTTCAGTAATAAATATGTGAGGCCTTTCATTTCAAAAAAAAAAAAAAAAAAAAGACATGAGGCCAGCATCCCCTGCACCAGGCCAGACTCTGATCCCAAAGCTCCCCGGGTCTGAAAGTTTCTAGTTGCATCTCTGCCATGGGCCCAGCTGGCAGAGGACATGGAAGCTGGAGGGTGGGATGGGGTGGCTCCTTGGGGTTCAGGGACTTGGTTAGCTGTTGAGGACCTCTCTGCAGGGGCAGGGAGTAGGGTTTAATCATGGGAAGGGGCTGGTGGCAACCTGGAGCCCACTGCCCCACGTCGCAGCACGTTTGGGCAGGGAAACTGAGGCAGAAGCCCAGCTGGCTGGCCTGGGGACTAGCTGGGGATGGGGCAGCTGTGCCTGGGAGCGACACCACCAAAGAGGGTCCAGGGACAGCTCTGGTCAGAGGAACCTCCTCCCCTCCTACTTTTAGGTCCCTGACAGAGGAGGCCAAGCCTCCCAGGGCGGGGCAGGGAACAAGTTCCATGCAGGGGCATCATCGAGGCCTGAATGTCCCGTTTCAGATGGGAGGCCAGGCCTGCAGCTGGTGGAGGGAGCTACGTGGGTGCTACCCTGGACACGGCCAGAGATGAGCAAGGACCAAGAGGAAGAGGATGGAGAGGCAGAAGCATCACACTGTTTGGGAGAGGAGGGACAGGAGGACACAGAAGCCTCCCAGGAGAAACTGAAGGACCAGAGGAGGGAGCAGGAGGGCCTGACCATGGAGGGGAGGAACGGGAAGACAGAGTGACACGGCACCTGGCTTGGCTCCTGGAGCAACTGACACTGGCTGGTGGGCACCTTCTCCTGGCCACACATCTGCGTGTGACAGCCACAGATGCACAGGGATGGGGGTATGGGAGGACTGAGCAGAAAGGGCTAGGGGGCTCTCTCTCTACCACAGGGCCCCTGCCTCTCAGCTCCCTGATAAAGAGAATGGGAATTGTGTTCTTGACAAGGTGAGGGACCTGAATCTGACAGGGCTCACGCTTAGTCAAACTTAGAACCTGAAACTCCCAACCACCCTCTTCAAGGTCCTTCTGGCTCCCAACCCCCACCTCCCGCCACCCCACCCTAAGGGTGGGAGGAACCCTGGGGGAGTATGGGGGCTGAGATCATCATTCTGGGACAGTAGAGAGAAAAGCCCAGGCCTGACAGAGGGGTCCCACTGGCCAGAGACAAGCCTCTGGGGAAACCCAGGCTGTCTCTGGACGTCAGGGCCACTGCCAGAGCAGGGCCACTGCCAGACTGGCTGCCAGCCAGGCTGCAGGAGGGACAGTGGCCAGCATCCTCTTCCACTCTCATCAGAGGGGCCAGCTTTGTCTCCAG